GACTTTCCATAGTTTTTGCCATTTTAGTAATACACATTTTGGGAATTCATCATTTAGTTTAGAATTTTGAAAATCCTTACATAAAAAGAAATCCTGGATATAAGTAGTTGAGAGAGTCATTCTTAATTATAACAAATTTGCATAATATAAAAATTTTAAGTTGTCATTTAACTAAGCTAGGAACTTCTCCTAGGAATAGGCTTATAACTAGAAAATGGAGTTGACCATCTCTTCAATGATTCCTGACTGGTGGTACAAACTGTGTTGTACTGGGTCAGCAGTGAATTCTTCACCCAAATCGTGCCAAGTCAGCTGGTTTTTAATTTGTTATCTTCTCAAGAGTGCATTCACTGACTTTATCACTGAGAAGAATGGCTCCCTTGCCTAGTGTGATCAAGATCTGGAAATTTGCTGTATCAGCATATTAAGGTTAGCCTGCTATTTGATTGGTGGGACTTAAATGTGATCTTACAGAAAAGATGTCAGTTACCTATTAGGCTACTTTACTGGAGGCTTAGGAGCAACCCTACCTAGAGAGCAAGCAGTCCTTTGCATTTTCTTTTTTAAATAAGGATGAAGAGAAGTTCCCTTTCTTAATCCCTTCTAAAGTCTTATTGTAAAAAAATCTTGCTTTATCAATGAATAGGACCTGGAAGGAAGATCTTTTGACATACTTCTCTCCCCTCAAGTTCTTCCTCAGTGGGCTAAGTGACTGGGCACTTCAGACTATCGACTATGTTAAAGAAAAGGAACTGCATGCCTTTTTTCACCTCTGTATCCTCAATGATTAGCCCCAGTGCCTTGGGCATAGTAGGTGTATAATAAATGCTTATTGAACTGAATTGACTTCTAACCCTCAGTCTATCTAGGAAAAAATAGATGGACAGGAAGGAAATCACGTTTTATTATCTGAATGGTGGCTAATATATTCTTTTACCCTTAATAACTTTTTGAAATATGAATTCTGAAATATTTTTATTTTTATGAATATTTATGTTTTAGTGGGATTTTATGTATTTTAAAGAAAATGTGTTCCTCTTTCAATGATATCTCTCTTTTGTGCCAATTCAAATGAATGTTTCCTTGAAAATCTCTGCATCCCAAGTACACATTCCACGTTTTCCACTATTTTACTTTGCTTTGAGATTACACTAGACATTTTAATGGAGAGAATATCTGGAGGCAGGTGACTTGTTTTTAACTTTAGGGATACCTCCATTCTTTTCTGAGGATTATTTTTAGTTCTTCTTCAAAAGGGCATACTATAGCTATGATGGACTAGAAAAATCATTGTTCTCACATTTAGGGGAAATGGATTAATGCTTTAAATGACACACTCTTTTTGACAAAAGTTCTTTGAAAACTTAAATACTATTCTGTCTGATTTTATCTATTATTTCTATGTCCTTAGGCTGCCCCATCTCACCATATTCTTATACCTAAGTCCCTTGAGGGTTAAGGGCTTCTTCATCTTCATGTTCTACAAAGCACCTATCATAGTACCTTGTATGTACATGGTGGACACATAACAAATAATGAGTGAGTTATAAGTGGCAATTAATGTAAGAAACTTCTGTTTGTGCCAGATGACTGATGTCTACTGATTGTAACTACTGGTTGTAGTTAGCTAAACTGCTTCCTTCAGAAGTGTCTTGAAGCCCCTTTAAGCCATATAGCCTCAGAACTGTGCCTAATTTCCAATTCCTAGAAACCAATGTTTTTGATTTCAAAAACCAATTTTTTCTACCTCCAAATTCACTTGGAATAAAATAATGTTCTAGGAAACACTGAAAATGTTTATTCATTCATGCACAAACCATTTAATAAAGGCCTGTAAAGAGAACTAGAGTAAGACCGCTGGCAAATTAGTTGGAGCTCCTGTAAATCTTCATGAATAAGTGGTGCCTGGGACAGGAGGACCTGGAGGGTTTTTGATCTGTATTTTTTCAGGGAGTAGCTACAGGGATGACATAATAGATCCATCCAAGTGTAGACGTGCCCTAGGAGAGCGCTAAAGATTAATAAGATGAAATCCCCTCCCTCAGAGAGCTTATAGTCTCATTGACTTGAGAAAGAACGACCCAAATGAATCAGTTCCTCCCTACCCTCTATGAACTAATGTTATATTGAGGTAGGCAATAGGTTTACAACATAAAGGAAACACCACTTGATTTAGTCTTTAAAGAAGGCTGGGGATTCTAAGATAAGAGGAAATGGTGCATTCCAGGCATAGGGTAGGGAGAAGGATACAACTTATGCAAGGGTATAATACAGAGATAGAGAAATGACTTGTAAGTAAAATTCTCTGAGAGTTCCTCATACACAACCAATACAGATTCTTCTGCTAAACTATAAATTTGTAGAGTGCAGGGACCAATTTCACTTTCATATGCCTGCCAGCTACTAGTAGGTGTTTAGTAATCTGTTTGCTAAATTTGTGCTTCCTGCCCTAAAGAAGCTTATAATTTAATTAAGTAGGGGAAACTGTTAAAGTAGATTATCAACAATAGCAGGACAAAATTTGAGCAAGTGAACAATGTGTTTCTGACTGTACACATCAGTTCTTGGGGAATGGAAAATACAAGGTGAGAGATGATAGTTTGCGTGGAAGCCTTCTACGGCCTCATCTTCTTGGCCTTCAAAGAAGTGTACATTTTAAATTGGTAGAAAGCAGAATAGGCCAGGGGAAAGAGAATCCTTTCAGAAAGGAAAATATTTTAATATATTGCATATTTTCATGAATTTGGAACATTTTTTTTGATTCATGCTTTAATCAATATTTTAGAAGTCATGATATTCTGTGGAACAGTTTGTTTTCTTCCCTGTATCCTTTCAGTACAGAGTTTCAGTTCTAACTACTTGGTACTTTGGTCCTTGTTCTCATTTTGTACATAACCATTAAGAAAAGTAAGCTTTCCAGACTCTTGGGAGGAAATGAGTGGAGGGCAATAATTTTAGTATCAAAGAATTTATCCCCTCTATGTACTGCGTTTATTTGAAACACATACTGTAGGGAACTCTCCCAGGTAATTCATTAACCTAAAATTTTTGGAAACTATTCAGGAAAAATCCTGGATGGTTTTTAAATTCAGCTTCTAGCTTTATTTTTTGTCTTTTAGCAAGCCATCTTTACCCTCTACTATGGTTTGACTCCAGTGATTCATTATGGCATGGAGATGACCCTGGGTTACCAAAGACTAAGCCAGTGGAGTTAAAAACGTCCAGCACGGCCTACCAAGCTGGAAAAACTACAGAGATGAGTTTGGCAATTTGGAAATTATCATCTCATCCAAGGATCAGCCTAGCTGTCCTGGCCTACCTCATCTGGAGAGCCTCATCAACAGAACGCAGGCCACTAGGGCATGATTTTTTTTTTTTAGCACAAATTGTGAAACTGTTTGCTGAAGTGTACAGAGATTTCAGTCTCTGGCAGTGTGGGAAGTTTTCATGCTGATGAAACTCCAGATCTTTTGAAGTATAAATGAATACATCTTCATGTGGAGAGGGGAATAATATACTCTTAAACAACTCCTGAATACAAGGCTTTTTAGGTCATGCTAATAATGGATCAACTTAAGTTGTCCTATTATTCTCATTAAGTATTCACAGCATGCATTTCCTTTAGAGCTATTAGATATATGTTATTGCTCTATATTAAGTGTAATATCCATTTATTTTGCATAGAACACATTCGTTTACTAGCAACCTATAATATTGAATTTATTTTAAACATTTAAATAAATAGAAGGCCTTAAATGAACTGTTGCTATGTTTTATGATGCTAATATTTCATTTTATGAGCTTCTTTAACAAACAAGATCTGAGTTCCATTTGGGAACTCAGTGGTCCAGGGATATACTTTGAATAATGTGCAAAAGTATCTTTTAAGACAGAAAGATATACTTATTCAACATTTTGTAGTTCCCCCAAAGCTGGCTGAACTTTGGTGATATATCCGTTTTATATAGATAAGGGTACTCAGATTATCCATAAGTAAGGAAAATTGGCCTTCTAAAAATGGGATTTTGAAAAAAGGATGAGTATAGACCATGTAGTTATGGTAGTAATCACCATCATAATACAGATAGCTATCATTTTTCTTTAAAGAAGAGAGTATTTAACAATGGCATGTATTATAAGTAGCATTTCATTAAAGCATGCCATTGTTTTCATTTTGCAATAATTGAGAGTAGGAAATTTTCAAGCTATCTTTTTTTTATTTGGAAAGAAATTGGTTTAATCTAGAAAAGATGATTTCAAATATAATATATGATTCCAAAAAGAAATGCAATTTTCATAATTCAAAGCCACTATATATGTGTTTATATGTATAAACATGTGAATATATATATTCTATATATCTTATTTGGAGGTTTAGGAAACAGGTATTGGTCTATAATACATTATGTAAATATGATGAGAAGACTTAACTATAGGATGAACTTTTTTGTCTTCTTTCATATGTGTTATTATTAACATCTCCTATAATATCTAAATTGCTATTCATGCACACTAATGAAGACAGAATGAAGATTAAGACCTTAAGATTTAGTAGGCAATATCTAAAAATAAAATTAGATAAATATTCTTGGCATATTCTTGAAAAGCATAGGTTGATAGAAGCAATATATTCACTATAATATAATTTAATATGAAATGCTAAGGATACGCTTTTGGAAAATGGTCTTTCAAAGGAATTCCTTCTAGCAAAAAAATAAAGGCCATTCCTTTCCTTAAATGACTTGTTGATTCAGAGATGGTAGTCCGTTACTATAACTAAAACATTTTAAATATGCTAAAAATAGTATATGTTGGTTAAATATGGATATTTTTTAAAAATCCCAGTTATACTGCAACAGAAGGACATTTTGTGTGACAATATTTTCCATGATTAAAAATTTAAACAGAATAACAGCTATTTATATTTACACTTACATGAAAGTAATTACTAAAGCAGACAAAATACTTAGAGCATAATTTAATAATGTTTTCCTCCAGCATAGGTGCCAAAAATTGTTATTTGCATAATTTTCACAATTTGTGCTGAAACATATCTAAGTGAAACCAGGAAGAAGGCTGTCCTAAACCACATTATTTTTTCTTGTGAATGTGTGGAAAACAGAGGGAAAAAAATCATCATAACACATTTATGTATCACTCCTAAAAATCATGACCCAACTGTTACACTATGAAGTTAAAGTGACACTTTCATCTCTATCCCTACCTTCTTTAAGTCAGTCAGTAATCAGCAGGTATTAATTAAGCACTTATTATGGGCCATGCACTATACCGAGTGCTGGGGAGATGAAGAAAGGCAAAATATTTCCTGCCCTCAAGGAGCTCACCTTGCAATGGGGAAGACAATATGTAAATGACTAATTACCTATAAGATATATTATTCAATGATCACCCTTCCCCCAACTACAAACTTCCTAATCACACATGGTTTACTGGTTCAGAGGTTAACAATTTACTATTCTGATAGAGGCTTTCTAGATATCTTAATAACTTGATCAGTATAGTCTTCTATTGGTGAATTTCTCTCTCTGTCTCTGTCTCTGTCTCTCTCTCATTTTTTTGTATATTGGAAGAGTAAGGGAAGAGTGATGATAGTATCTGGCCCATTTCCAGGATGATTTGAGGATAGCAGCCTTCTGTGGTTGGGGCTGAAAGATTGTGAACTCTGTGTTAGCTGAAATACCACACTGGGGAGGAGAACAGAACATTAAAAGAGCATTAGCTTTAAGGTAGTATAGTACAAGTTGAGTTGGATTTGAGAGCTGGGACTGAAGTGGACATTTGTGCCTGCTTTCCTCCCTAATAAAATCTGAGTGTTAACCGTGGATAAGGACATTTGAGAGATCATTAAAAATGAATCATTAGAGTTCCCAGAAGAACTTTATTATGATGTACTGTGAATAACTTTAAAATATGCTATGTACTTTTTATACATGCTCATCAAATTCATTCCAGGTAAGTGGGTAACAAGTATATTCTTTCACTCCCCTTTGCCAGGGATAAAGCAATTTGGTGAGAATTATCATGGCAAAAGAATGGAAGTTTCTACTGCCTTGCATCTGTATATTCCAGAGGATGCTATGGGGAGCTTAGGCAAATAGGGACTATTGGTTTTTTTGAATCTTTTGAAATTTGCAATTGAAACATTAGACAGTTTTAAAATTTCAAAACAGAATAACCAAAGTAAATGAAAAACAGGCTGCAGACAAAATGCAATTCTCTGTGGGGTTTAGAAAGTCTTGGCAGCTAGGTTTTAAGTTCTCTTGTAGCTTCTAAGTGGCAAGTTCAGAGGCCTGGCTTGGTCCTTGACCAGTACGAGGATGTTTCTATTCAACTGTTAACAGAATTCAACATGATATGGAAAATACAGGCGTGCAAAACTATATTACTATACTAACTTTGCCAGATGAAGCCTAAAACACAGCCACATTTACATATCTGTCCATCTGTCTGTTTTTACACTTTATATTTCCAACCAGTGGGTAAAGTGGTTTTAATCCAAGCTACAGTCTGATTTTTTTTTCCTACTGCTTTTCCATTATCTCATATATAGATGTATATTCTTTTTATGAGTGAACTATTTGTCTCTGGACACACATTTTCCTGCATTTGGCTAGTTTTTAGGTATTCTTTTAAGAGTTAATCTCATCCCTGTGGACATGGTCGGTTTTTTCAACAGGATTGTAAGTTGTAAGGATCCAAGTTGTCCATGGATCATTTTTGTTAGTTAGCAGATTGTTACCAATCTCAATGTTGCTGAAATCTCTAATCTCAGGTCAGTGTGAAGCTGGCAGTGGTTACAATCCTGTTGCCTGATTTCAGTGTGAATGGAAGTGCTTTCTGTCGCAAACATGTGGTCTCTTCAGTGGAGAGCCTCGGTAAATCCTGTGTAAATAGAGAGAGGATAACAAAGAATGAGCCCCTGCAGCTCAGAGCATTTGGAGCCATTTGGGGGCTGAATTTGCTAAATGCTGCTTATAGCAGTTGAAAAGTTGAAGAGAAAGGGGCATAAAACCCTTCTTTTTTCCCCCCTCTTTGGGCTCATACCCTGGGGGGAGGGTGTTCGGGGCCAGAGGAGCCTGAGGTAAGCCTATGAAGACTTGTTTTTTCAGTGCTCTTTTGAGTGTGAAAAAGGTGGCCTGGGTCACTGTTGTCTCTTTAATGTCGGGAAAACCCACACAGTTAGTAAATGTTGCATGTAAACGAAAGCATTTCCTCTCTTCGGCTGCACTCCATGGTAGTGGACCATGAACTAGTCACTTGAAAATCACAGACAAAATTTCACTTTAACGTGTCCAGACAGTTAGGCACAGCAGGACAGTAAAAGAGATCAGTAATTAGCAGGTTGCACTGCTGTGTCCCTCGCCCCCACTTATTTCCCCCTCCTCTTCCTCCCTTCTCTCCACCTCTCTAGGCAGACAGTGCTGGCCTTTTCTTCTCTTCCACCTGATGCAAAAAAAAAAAGTGTTAAATAGAAAGTATAAAAAAGATTACTTTGTTGATGATACTTAGAAGGCACGCCTTGTAAGTGCACACTATTCTAAAACAGAGCTAAGCAAATGCTGTTAAGGTGCTGTTATTTTTTTTAATACGTAACTCTTATTTGAAACTCTAATATAGGTTTGTCATTGAGTTGCCAAAATTAGCCCCTAGACTGATGTCCCTGACAATCCTACACAGAAAACATCTTTTGACTTTCTGTATATTTTAATCCTGTTTTCAAAGTACAGTACTGTGAAAAGCAAAGCATAAAGAGATGATGATAGACAATGAGTTCACAAAGTACTATGCATGGTGTTCCTAGAGTCACAGTGTTATCTTTTTCTTTCTGTTCTCAGCAAAGCTTACCAGTACTTTACGTGACGTTTACTTTGGGGATCATCTTCTATGATACATCCCTAAACTCTCTCCCCTACACTGGCATAGGGATGATTTAAGAACAGACGCATATAAATAAAGTGTGTCTAATGCCCTTTACTCCACTTCTCCAGAGTGGGGAAAACCTCTTTCTAAGGGCAAAGGCACATATTTGCTTAGAGGAAAACCTGTTTGCCTGGGCATGGTGAGATTCTGTGCATAGGAATGGGAATTATAGAGGGGAAAGCACAAGGCCAGTCAAGTGAAGTATGGCAGACAGAATTGGTTACCAAGGCCCTAGACTCCTTCATTGGAGGCACCTGGTAAAAGAATGATTCTTACGAATTTGAAATGTCTGTTTCCAGACCTGTTCGATGGTAGGGGAATAAAGCAGGCAAACTTCAATTATATCATATAGCATAAAAGTTTCTAGGGTTTGATGAACTCTTATGTATCAAAAGAGCACTTCATTCCCTCCCTTTTCTCATCCCCCTCATATGCTGGGATTCAGTGAACCTAGTGCTAGGTTATTCTAAAGTGACTCTGGATTAAAAGATATATCTAACTATATTATGGTAAATTCTTGTCATTCTTATGGGTCTATAACCTACTATCCCTTTAGGTTACAATCATGTTCATGCAAAGCCCACTATAGGCTTTGGTGGAGTAAAATAGGGATTGAGGGCCAATCAGGAATCCACATTTACCTCTGAGGCATCTGAGAGGCACATAGTCAAGGAGGTAATGACTGGAACATGGTTGCTTGCTTTTCTCTTTCTTCACTAACTGGTCGTGAGATGGAATTGTCTGTATGTTAAACCAGATGACTGGTACAGAAAATACATACATACATATATACCACACACATATATTATGGTTACATATCTACAAATTCAGTTCTGCAATCCATAAATGCTGTTCTTTGAAGCTAGTGAAAAACTATGGTGAGGAAGACGAGGACTAGAAACTATCTTTAAACCTACTACAAAATTATTTATATATAAATATATCTCTATATAGAGAATAAACAAGTGTATTCTATTCCACTAACCATTCATTGGGGAAGATGTGGAGCTAGGTGTTGGGGGTGTGAAAATAAACAGGTTGTGGTCCCTGCCCTTAAGAAGCTTATAATCTGGCAGAGGAGGTAAGACATGTAGACAGATTAAGAATAATAAATATTAATATACTATAACTTCACTGGAGACATCCAACCAAAATGTTATGAGAGATTCAAAAAGATTAAGCTTGTGTCTAGAAGGAAACAGTTGGAGAAGGGTGATGGATTTATATAGGAGGTGTTACCTATGCTAGAATTCAGAGAAAGGGAAATATTTCAGAAGGACAAGACTCCATGTCATTTGATTTAATAAAGGTAGAGATAGGGATGGGATGTGTGATTTTGTTAGTCTAGGGAAGTCCCACATGTGGAGACTTCCTCTAGCAATGCACATAGTCACTTTCTCCACAACTGATATTCTTGGTGGATTGCCTGGGTCTACTAAGAGGTTATATGTGAGTTGCTCAGAGTCAGAAAGCCAGTAAGTGTTAGAGGCAGAATTTGAACACAGGTCTTCCTAGCTTTAAGTCAGGTTCTACATCTGCTATACCACACTACCTTTCAAGTCAACAAGCATTTATTAAATGCCTACTCTGCACACATAGAAAGGATTAAATAAATGTTTGTTAAATGAATAAACAATTAAGGGATATTGAAGCAAAAAAGAACTTGACAAGTAATTGAGTTTGAGAGGTGAAAGGACAGAATGAAATTGGAGAACAACTGAGAGATCCAACTGGGCTAAAATGTAAAATTCATGAATAGTCGTATATTTGTTCTTTGTCCTAAAGAGGAATTAGCTTATTCAGGTGGCCAATAAAGTAATATACCTAAGAGAATAATTATTACAAAAGAATTGTCTTCATGAGCAGGAAATGTGTCATTTTAACTCATTTTATGTATATGTTGAATGCATAGTAAATATTGGTTGTCTGTTTATTCTCTGAAGATCAGTCTGATCTTGGCCAAGCCAGTTGAACAGGATAAGGGATAAATTTGGGTCCAGGTTATCCTAGGTTCCAAGCATTTTTGGCATAATTCGTACTTTTTGAAATTAGTCTGAGGTCTCAGGGCATAGAATTTCAGGTAGAAATTCACTCAGTTGGTATGAGAGTACTTTAGGCCAGCTGCATAAGTCAGATCTAACAAAATCCCTGGGATTGCCCCCAAACAATTGCTATGTGTTAGCTGCTTATATGCCAAAGTGGTCACCCCTGGGACTTTATCAGCCCCTGAGAGTTGAGATCAAATGAGATAATGTCTATGGAAATGATTTAAAAACTATGAAGTGACATGTAGTACAATTCTAAATTGATGATACTAATGGTGTAAGTTGGTGATATTACAAAGAACACCCTACCAGGAGACTGAGGAAGGCAACTAGTTGTGTGATATTGTACAATTCGCTTCCCCCCGGACCTCAAAGAATCACAGACTCTCAGAGTTGGAAGGAACATCAGAGGCCACTCAGTTCGACCAGGAACCATATACACTAGTTGTTATCTTATAGCATTTGCTCAAAGATCTCCAATAAGGGAAACCCACTACCTCCCTAGGCTCTTCACTTTATGATAGCTCTAATTATTAGGAAGTTTTTCCTTAATTTGTCTCTACCACTTGCCACTTCTACCCATTTTGCTCCTTAGTAACTACCTCCTGGGGCCACCATATCCAGTCCCTTTTTTCTAAGCTGCCCCTTCAAATATTTGAAGATCGCTCCCATGTCATTCATGAGTCTCCTTTTATTCCAGACTAAGTCTTTCCCTCAGTTTCCACATCTGTAAAATGAAAGAGGCATTGAAATTCATAATTTCCAAATTCCTTTCCAGTTCTAGTATTCTATTATTTTATTTAGAGAGCAATGGGAGGAGCTTACACTTTGGCACTGGCCTTATCATGTAGATGTTTAATTTTGTTGAATTGAACTGAATTGAATCAAATCTTTGCCTGTTAAAATGTTTCCCTTGCTTAGTATGTCCTTGTGTCCACCATTACTCTGCTGTCAAATCAAACGATAACTTTCCTTCCCAAACTATACTCAAGTCTCGGAGTAAACGGAATGAGAAGTCATGCCATTGAAGGGGAGGTATAATCAGATGCCCAAGGTCATAGTCTACTTAGAGGCCATCCATCTATAGATGTTGAATGTAGTTTTCCATCCCATGTTGTATTCCTCTACTAAATACCTCTTTTAAGTGTCTTGGGAAAAAAAAGTCTAGATAACATCACTTAGGTTGGTGTTTGGGCACTTTCAGGAGAGAATGACAAATGAATCTTAATTCAGTTCTTCATGAGCAGTGCTGGTACTAAGTGGTCCATGGGTAACTCACTACCTGAGAAAATGCTATTAGCAAAGCCAGGATTAAGAGGGCAAATATGGTCATAACTGAGACATATAACACTTGGTGGCTTACTGGTCATTTTACATACAATTAGCACATTTGAACCTCACAACAGCCATGTGAGATCACGTACCACAGGTATTATCCCTGCTTTATAGATGAGAAAACTGAGGCCCTGGCTACGTGGCTAGAAAGCATCGCAGAGGTGGGATTGGAGGCCAGTTCTTTCCTACTCCAAGATGAGCGAGTTAGGCAACCGCCTAGGATAGAACGTTTTCTATAAATTCACATTTTTTTAATGTTATTTTAATGTTTGAGGTTGGGTTCATCTTATCCACTGAAAGCTCAAATTCTTCATGAAATGTACGCCATTATTTTGTGATGAGTTAAGTCACACACATTACAATTAAGGCTCAAAGCCTTGGGTGGACAGTTATAGAAACCAGCGGTACAATTCTCAAACATTTTTTAGGGAACATACGGACCTTATACTTGCTCCAGCTCTGGTTAGATCTTTAAAGAGGTATGGTACTCTGGGATGTGTGTACATAGTCAGAGATGTGCTGAAGCCAACACCGATGTGCTCACCAGAACTGATTATTAAATTTGCCGTGTGATAATATATACCTCAGAAATTGACAAATGTTGCAAATCTGGGCTCGATTTGTTGTTTGTTGATTGTCTAGGCTTAAGAAAATAATGGCGAAAATGTCGATAATGCAGATTCACTTAAAAGTGTGTCATGTGTACGTTTGTTTTCTTGGAGAGCCAGTTGTTAAACATTGAGCAGCACATGCTGGTAGTTTGCCCACTCACTTTAATCTGTAGAATAAGATGTGGAGACATCCTGAGGAAAAGCTCCTCCGATTCTCGTGCTCCTGACAGCAGAGTAAATCAAGTCCATGTGCTCAGAATCTCCAGAATGGAAGTATAGTTAGTAGGGGAGACAAGTGATAGGTCTGACTCCATTCTCCAATCCCTACCGGGCCCCGAAACACCTCTATTCACAACCTCAGGACCATGCAAAGATTTTTTTTTCATGATTGAGTCTATCAGGACATGCTTGGAGATCACACAGGCAGACACATAATTATTCCATTTTGGGGTAACGCATTGCAGATTAAACAGTTCCTTAGGGGAGAAATTTGTATTGTCTTTCTTTCATTTGAGAAAGAAAAATACCTCTTCACTGGGAGGGGGCAGAATAATCACTAATAATGAATAATTTAACAGCAGATTCTCTTAAAACCTAGCTATTATTTCATTGTGGGATTGTGAGGGAGTCTGGATTCCATTGGTATAAGGAACTCCCAATGAGGAATCTCCTACCAATGCAGCTCTGCAACTGTTCTGCATTATAGTCTTAAAGAGTTGTCTGGGTCCATTATTTCTTAACATTCAGTATTAGACATGGATTCCAGCATGATGGTCTTAAATACTTGATCATTACATAGATACATGGGCTATTTTCTTAATTGAAGTAGCTCTTTTCCCCCCTCCAGTTTGATGTAAATATCAAAGGAACCACCTACATTCTTTCTCTATCTAAATACAGTGAAATACAATAGTTTGAAGGTGTAGCCTCTGCTTTGCCTTTAAGCAAGATAGAAGGTATTTTGGAAATATTCTCTCTCATTTTTAGGGCCATTGATTGAATGGAAAAGGCAAACTCAGTCTTTAGTTGAAGTTCACTCTAGTAGGCCATTAGCCTTTTAAAGTAAGGATCACTCAAAATCTATCTCTAAGAGACAAACGAGTTTTAAAGGATATTCTGATGATTTCTACTCAAATATATACATAGACACCATATGTGCTTAAAGAGAAACACATACACACAGGCATTGTTTACAGACTGTGTTTTTATATTTAGAAGACATTAAATGAAAAGATATACTACCCACATATAATATGCAAGGTATATTTACATACCTATGTTTATTTTTACATAAAGAGACAAAGATATCTTTATCTATGATAAGACAGACAGACAGACTGACTTCAAACTTGCACTTTCAGTATGGGTTTTTTTTTTCGCTATCTCCGGGTACTGCTTTTCAGAATTGCCTCAGGCTACAGTAGAGCACCTCAGATCCCCAAGGCCCATTGCCTGGCTCCTAATAGCCACTCTCCATCTGTGTCACATGAACAGCTGATGAGATAGCTCCAGTGTCTGTATTTTGGAGAGCGCATCCACCCAGGTTAAAATGCTAGGGTTGCCAAGGAGCAGTCAGAAGCCATTAGTGTTTGTGAGAATTTGCCTTGCAGCAGTTCCTTGGCATAGGGGAAAGTGTGTATGTGGTGTGTGGGGCTGTGTGTGTGTGTGTGTGTGTGTATGTGTGTGTGTGTGTGTGTGCAAGCAAGGGGCATGTGTGTGCATGAATGTGTAGGGAAGAGAGACTGAGGAAGGGGGTTCTCTCTAACCAGTGTTCTCAAAAGTTGTGAATTATATCGTTTGGTTTCTGGTACTTTGATTAGTTCGTCTGACTGTTTCCTACTTGCTTTGAATCCTTTTTCCCACCTCTTTCTTTCTTTCTTTCTTTCTTTCTTTCTTTCTTTCTTTCTTCTTTCTTTCTTTCTTTCTTTCTTTCTTTCTTCTTTTTCTTTTTTTCCTTTCTTTTTTTTCTGATCATTAACAGAAGGCAAAGAAAAAGAGAACAGCAACTTAGGGGTCATGCTCTAGTGTTTGGGCAGATGGAAGAGAGCCGCTTTGCCTTGGGGCAGGGTGGTTGTAATGAAGTGGCCTGTCAGTCTGCAAATAGTGAGGGTCATCTCTTCCAAGTGATGGAGGGTATCACATTGCAGTGAAAATGGAAATGTCAATAAAATTAATCTGCCAGCTCTTTGCTGTGGTTTTTGTGCTTCTCTGGTCAAAGAAGGTAGAGGTTTTTTGGTGGAGAATGAAAGAAACAGGTACAGGGGGGAGCCCCGCAAAGCAGAAATCAAAGTTGGGAAGCCAGTGGCCTCCACGGAGCACAAATGTGTCTGCTTTAGTCCTACTGAAGAGCGAGGAAGAAGCTCTAGGAATTAGCCAATGGATCTGTGGCATTCCTCAGGAAGCTATGGAGCGTCTAGCTCAGGCTACAGTGAGCACAGAGTTTATTGTTTTAGGCTTTCTTGGACAAGGTTTTTACTTAGCATGGGATTTATGGCATTTACTGCTAATGAATGTCTATTCTTAAATTACAAAAACCACCGTCTCAGCGCAATTCCCAGATGTCCTTCCAGGACCTCGGCTTCTTAAACACCAGCAGGGAGCATAAACTCTCCACTTCTCTGTTTTCCTCTTTCGTGTGGCTCCAGGCTAATGATGTGCAAGGAAAACACAGCCATCTATAAAGTCTCAGTGCTGTCCCAGTATTCTTCATTTATTTTGCATTTGATTATGCCACAAGTCGGATCTTGTTTCTTTCCTTTTTTAAAAGTTATTAGTTCAAATATTAATGTAGGGATATGGCATATATTGCTGCTCTTGATTGATGCCTTCCCCAAAACAGGAAGACGTGCTCGTATGAATTTTAAGAAAGTAGGGGTCCTGCAATGCCTTGCCAGAAGAGTTTTTCAGATACATAATTTAGATGCCCTCCAGGCAGGCTTTCAAGGCATTTTTGCTGGAGGGCAAGAAAAAATAACTATGACTGTTAAAAGTAAATGATTTTTGCTAATGCACAATTAATGCCAGAGAAAAGCATAGAAGAGAGAGATGTTGATAGAAACTTCTGATTAAGTGAGTGCCCTGCCTTGATGTGCATCTTTTTTATTTAATGATAATGATCACTGATGCAGAGTGGGAGAAGTTTTCATGTCATGCAAATGCAAATGCATGGGTCATATCAGAAGTGTGTGAGTGTGTATGCGTGTTCACACAGGCGTGTGCTTAGGAGGTGACAGTTCTGGGAGGGGCTGAGCTGGCAGTGTGTTATGTGCAATGAACAGTGACACAGTTACTGTCACCTATGCAGACAGCCTAGAATATATAGACTACAGAACATTTAACTTGATTACCCGACAGTATGTGTTCACTATGGATGGGGGGGATGCATTTACACTGAATGGGTTTTCTTATGGCAGGTTTTCCCACATTGGATTCCATAATTGACAAAGAGCTACTGCGCTGTGTCAAGCACACAATTATAATTGAATTAATGATATGTGTAAGTGTGAGACACACAAAATTAGCATTTGGAGAGGCCTGGCTTAATTTTTTTTTTTTTACATATTTGTATCTGCAATTATACTTAATGAGAGAGTATATACAAGCTTAATGGATTTGATACAAGTTTAGCTTAGCCCATCATTAGCAACACCTTGTTGTTTCTTTTTTTCTTTTTCTTTTCTTTTTTTCTTTTGTCTTTTTTTCTTTTCTTTTTTCCTTTTTTCCTTTTTTTTCCTTTTTTTTTTTTTTTTTTGCTTAATACATTTCCTTTCCTTTCTTTCTAGGGGATGGTTTAGACAACAGTGTAGCTTCACCTGGTACAGGTGATGATGATGACCCAGACAAGGACAAAAAACGTCAGAAGAAAAGGGGCATCTTCCCTAAAGTAGCAACAAATATCATGAGAGCATGGCTCTTCCAGCATCTCACAGTAAGTGAAGATGGGGAACAAAAACGATGGTTTTACCATGTCCAATGATATCTACTTTTAGAGATTTATTTTCCTAGAAAGGTGATAGGGCTTAGTTCATTTGTATGCTTTCCCAAGGCGTTTCTTTCTGTTTCGTCGAATCTTATAAGCTATGGGTATGGAAATGCTATGCCAATCTATGGACACCGCTGTAGAGGGTAGCTGTTTCTCTTTGGGGTTCCAATAATGAGCGCCGCTCAAGATTATCCTATAAGGATAGGACCCTAAGCAGTGACTTTGTGTGTGGTTATAATCTACATCAATATATGCGTGCTTATCCTCTGAAAATGTATCTAAGTGGAAAGGTTGTGAAGACCATTGTCTTGTTCTGGAGCCTGTAAACATGGTTGGAGTTTTGGACTATCAAGGAAAGCACTCCGTCTTGGAAGGGAAGCAACGCCCTTCTGGCCATTTGTGTATAGCAATGTACAAGTTCAGGTGCTGAATTGCAGAATCAGTTTGCAAACTTGCCAGATGTTTGTGTGACACATGTAAAAGGCTTGTACGTTCTCATAATGCTCTGCTCTCATAATGTACTGTAAGGTGGAGATTAAAGATTTGTCATTGTTGTGGTCATTGTCTGTTCAAGACCACTATCTTAAAAGTTAGTCTTCTTCACTTTGGGGGCAAAGGGATAAAATATGTGCAATACTTCTAGTAACATTCGCCTTTTTGCAATTGGTTTATATGTTGGTATACTGGTGACTATTACAGCATCATTTGGGTATCATAATATACTTTTTTCAGAGAGGTCATCATATCTTTTGTATTTTACCATTCATATGGAAATGCTAGAAATGGGTGGAATTTTTTTTTTATTGATTTTTCTTGTTATAAGATTGTTTTTTTACCCATCCTATTTGGGCTAATGATGAGAATAGATGGGGTAGTATATTGAAAGAAGAAAATTTTCTTTGATTATCTAACTTGTGTGTTGCCATGCTGAATGACATTAGCTACAGTGTCATGGTTCCAGGACAAGGTTCCACTTTGATTCATGGCGGTGACTGCTGATCTGCTGCTCTGCCAAAGCCGCAGAGGGCAAGGGGGCAGGCAGGATGGTGGTGAGGAAGTGAGAGTGATAGATCCACATTCCTAAATCAGCCATTTTGATGTAAGGACATTAGTAGCAAACTAAGGTGTATTGATCTGGCCTGTGGTGTCAGGATTAGCTTAGAAGAACCAATGTCTCTGCTGGAGCAGTAGGTATTCTTGCCTTGCAGCTATGGCCATTTCAAAGGTCAGGGCCCTGGACTGGCTTGGCTCAGAGGAATTAGACAGAACATGCAGTCTCTGGGCTGATTACTTAACCAAAGACAAAATAATGAGTCCTAAGCAAATACTGACTAATTGAAAGGGCTGTAAATCCATTACATATTGGTCAGGGATAATCAGGAGTATTTAATCACTTTTATCTATTCAGGAGCACTGAAGCTGTAACAGCAAAGCCCTGAACCTTGCCATGTGCTTATTATTCTCATCATTATCAAAATTACTTCACAGCTGTTCTTTGCTACATCACCTCAGCTGGAGATTTACTAACCTGTAAAATGTGTTTTTAATTTGGAAGTCGAGTAAGGGTGAGGGGAGCAGTTTTTTTTTTCTTCCCCCACTGGTGGATTTGGTTAGAGAAACTACCAGAATAGGCAGGGGAAAAATATAGATCATAAACCATGTATTTTCTTCAATACAAACCCACCTGTTTGTGTGTTTTCAGTGGATCTGTTCTTATCAGTATTATCTGCTATTTCGCATTGTACCTTTCTCTGTTGCTAGTGGTAAAGAGGCTTCAAAAAATTCTTGCCAAAGGGAGATATTCATGTCTTTTCCTCCCTTTATCATCCCCATCCCCATCAAGGAATCATAGAAGTTTGGAGCTAGAAGGGATAGGAAACAGTGAACATACATTTTTGCTGGGCACAAAGCCAAAAATACCCAGTTCTTGCTCTCAAGGAGTTGACATTCTGTTATTGGAGGAGATGACTTGTCCATATGTTCATGCAAAATATACATACAATAGACATGTATATATACAAGGGGGGGGAAGGGCAAAGCACTAGAAACTGAAGGGGATCAAGAGAGGCCTCATATGGAACATGACATGAGCTGAGAATTGAAAGAAACTAGGAAACTAAGAAACTGAGGAAATTGAGGCAAAGGGCAAAAGAGAGTGCCTTTCGGCCAAGGGTGATGGCCATGCAAAGGCATGGAGGTTGGACTAAGATAGTCACTAAGATCCCTTTCAGTTCTAAATCTTAATACACCACCAAGCCATTTGCAAATGAGGAAACTGAGACCCATTGAGGTGCAATGACTTGCCCAAAGTTACCTAGCTAGTTAGTGATAGAAGAGAGACAAGAAAAGAAATCTCCTGAACCCCACTTATCTTTTATTCCCAATATACTTTCCTGTACCCCCACATCAAAATCATCTATATCAAAGAAGCATCTGCTGAAGTAGCTGAATTGCCCTGAAGGCAATATTTGTATATACACATATATATGCATGCATACATATACAACATATGTATACATATACTGTGTATATGTATACATATACAACATATGTATACATATACTGTGTATATGTATGTTCTATAGACTTGTCTCATAATATGAAGACATAAGGAGCCAGTCTGTTGAGTTTCTCTTATCCCAGCCTGCCCTTGCCTTGGTTCTGCATTATTTCTCCTTCTAGGATTGTGACAATGAGCTACCACAGACAGTATGTGTTTTAAGTGGCTAGCCTTTGGACTAGGACTTACGATCAAACTGTAGTCACTCTATGAACCATTTGTTAAGCATTTTCTATGTGTTTGTGCCAGGTGCTATATGGTAGGGAGAAGGGTGCTTAGAAAAGAAATATAAGATATAGTCCCTGCCCTGAAGATAGTCTAGTTTAAATGTGTCTGGGCATTTATTCAGAAACTTCTTCCATACCAAGAAGACTTTCAAAGGATTCCAACCCTTGGAGTGGGGGATGTTGACAATGATGATTGCCATGTATAAATCACTTCAAAGTTTGAAAAATGGTTTACCTCAAAGCAGCCCTGTGAAGTAGCTAATTTAGGTATTATGACTCCTGTTTGACAGATGAGGAAACTGAGGATTGTTCATGGTCACATAGCTAACAAGCATCAGAAATAAGATTTGGATTCTGGTCTTTCTAACTCCAAATATAGCACTCCAGGCCACTGTGCCATGCTGACTATAAACTGGGGCTAATAGGTAATTTAACATTTGCTTATTAAGCACTTGCTATATGGAAGCCACCATGCTAGATACTAGGGATGTGATAGTTTTTAAAAAATGATAAGAATCCCTATCTCCCAGCATCCTCTCTAGCAGATGTCCCTTCTATCATCCCCCCTCTCCCTGCCTACTGGCTGTTTCTCTTCTAATATCTTTCCCATCCTTAAAAAAAACAATACCCTTTATTTGGTCCATCCTTTCCTATTCCATATCCCTCCTTCCTTTGTTAGTTAAATTCCTGAAGAAGGCCATCTACAATATGTGTCTCTACTTTCTTTCTCACTCTCTTCTTAACTCTCTCTAGTCTGGCTTCTGACCTCATTATTCAACCAAAGCTGCTCTCTCCAAAGTTAATAGTGATCTAATTTAGTATCGAATGGACTTTTCTCAATCCTCATCCTTCTTGACCTCACTGCTCCCTTTGACACTTCTCTGTTACTTTCTTCCCTCTAGGTTTTCAGGACACCACTCTCTCCTGGTTTTCCTCTGCCCATCTGACCACTCCTTCTCAATCTCCTTTGCTGGATCTTCATGCAGTTCATACTTGCTAACCTTTGATGTCCCACAGGGCTCTCCTGGACCCTCTTCTCTTCTTCCTCTATTATACTATTCCAGTTGGTGATTTCATTAGCTCCCAAGGATTCATTATTATCTCTATGCTGATGATTCTCAAATCTACATATCCAGTCCTAACCTGTCTGCTGACCTTCAGACTTAATGCCTAGATGACATTTCAAACTGGACAACCTATAGACATCTCAGATTTAATATGACAAAAATGAACTTACTATGTTCCCCCACACACACCCTCCTTTTTTCCTAATTTGTCTGACCTGCTAAGGGCATCATCATCCTTTCAGTAATCCAGGCTCAAAACTTGGGTGTCACTCTGGATTCCTCACTGATTCTCACCCCCATAACCAATTTGTTACCAAGGATTGTTAATTTTACCTTTGTGATATTTATTGCACATGACCTCTCAAACAGCTACCACCCTGATGTAGGCCCTCATCACCTCATGCCTTGACCATTTCACTAACCTGCTGATTAGCTGGCTTGTCACACGTCTCTCCCTACTCCACAGGACTGTCAGAGTGATCTTCCTAAAGCACACATGTGACCATGTCGCCCTCCACTAGTTACTCCCTTTCACTTCCAGAATCAGTTATAAAATCCTACTTAGCATTCAAAGCCTTTGATAACCTTTCCTACCTCTTCTCTACACACATTTATTTCTTCTTACACCTTACACCTGCACACCTACGCTGTTACCCAGTGACTGTGGCCTCCAACTCCCAACTATGGGTATTTTCACTAGCTTTCCCCCTGTGCCTGGAATTCTCTCCCTCCTCATCTTCACCTCCTGGATTCTCCCGTGTCCTTCAAGTCCCAGCTAAAATTCCACTTTTTCAATCCTTAGTAATTCTAGCGTCTTCCCTCTTTATTATTTCTTACTTATCCTGTATGTAGCTTGTTTGATGTAGTTGTTTGCATATTGTTTCCCCAATTAGGTTGTGAGCTCCTTGAAAGCAAGGTCTTCCCTTTACCTTTCTGTTTCCCCAATGTTTAGCATAATACATAATGCATAGTAGGTTCTTTATAAACAAATGGCATATATTCAAACAAGTATTATTCAGGGTATAATATGATGGGGACACAGGAAAAATCTGGGCAAAGTGCTTTAAGAAAATTTGAAGAGGTTTCAGCAAA